TGTCTCCATGTCTTCCATGATTCCAGTGTTCCCAGTGACATCAATGTCCTCATGTTCCTGCAGGTACCTGGAATCCCGAGGGCTTCTGGAGGGTTGTGGCCCACCACAGATGCCATCTCTTTCATCACCGGCCGAGCGGGATGCAGTGTACCTGGGCTGGGCACTGGAGGGGTGGCCAGGGCGCAGTGGCCATGATGCACCCATGGTGGCCCTGGAGGCCCTTCTGGCATCCGGAGGATGCTGGGAGGACCTGTGTAACAGAGGGGTGCTACATGGTGGGGACAGTGATTCAACAGGAACCATCGCCGCTGGGTGCTGGGGGCTGCAGGAGGGGCTGGCCTCCGTCCCTCCTGGGCTTCCCTGCTGCCTTGAGCACCGTGGGCGGCTGCGCGATGCTGCCCATCGCCTCCACATGCTGGCCTGGGGGAGACACTAAGCCCTGTCTCTGTCCCCATTGTCACCTGCTGTCCCCTTCCAGTAAAGCCCCAGTGGGTTCCTAGGGTGCAACAAATACCTTCATGGCATCCTGGAGGGGCTTGGGGGGGTCTCTGGGGGTCAGCAGAGACCTTCATGGGGTGCTGGGGGGTTCACGAGAGTCCTTGGGTTAAGCAAGAACTGTCATTGAGTGCTTGGGAGAGTCCCTAGTGGCCAGCAGAGACCTTAATGTGGTCCTGGTGCAGTTCAGGAGGGTCCCTGGGCAGGCTGCAGGGAACTTCACAGGGTCCTGGTGTGTTCTGGAGGGCCCCTAGGAGACCCTAAGGGGAAGCAGGGCCCTTCAGAGAGTCCTGGGGAGCTCAGGCAAGCCCCAGGGAGACCACCGTAGTCACATCCAGGTGGCCTTTTATTCTTCCACAGTTCCCAGAACTTCCTTGAGGAGCCTCAGACACCCCTACAGTAAAAAAGTGTCCTCCCAAGTCACTCTGTGTCTAGGTTTGTGTCCTGCGCCTCTTGTTCTGTCAGTGCCACTGAGATCCCACCTGGATGGGACTCCCTACGTCCAAATCTTGTCCAGTATTGGTTCACACAGCCCCTCCAAGAGGGTCCCAGCCATGGAGCATCTCAGGGGCCTCTGGACTCTCACAGTCACTCCATCTCTCTTATACTGGTAGCTCAGGACTTTGACCCAGTGTTCAAAGGTGGGCTTATCAGTGCCGAATGGAGACGAAGGAGCTCACAATGCTACTGCCACACCACTCTGAGTGCCACCCAGTATGGTGATGACCTTCACATGTTGCTACTTTTGGTCACCTTAGTGGGCACCACCGCCTCAGGATCATTCGAAGCAAAAAGCAATGGGCACCCAGGGTGATGGGCCCCTGAGTTTAACAACTACAAGGGTGTTGGGCCCTAGATGTGATGGACCCAAAGGGTAAACCAACACAGGTCTGATGGGTGCCAGGGTTAACCACCCTAAGACTTATGGGCCCACAAGCTGATAGGCCCCTGGGGTTAACCACCCCAAGAGTGATGGGCCCCCAGAGCTAAACAATTCAAGGGTGATGTGCCCAGTGTTAAACACTTCAAAAGGTATTTGTCCCTCGGGATGTTGGTTCTGGGGCTTAACTACTCTGAGGGTGATGGTCCCAAGATGTGATGGGCCCACAGGTTGATAGATGTTGACATCCTGAAGGGTGCTAGGCCCAAGAGGTGATTGAAAAGCAAGTTTCACCACCCCTTGGTCAACAAGCCCCTACGGTGGGGGGCCTCCAGCGTTAACAACCCTATGTGTGCTGTGCCCACATAAACCACTTCAAGGGTGATGAGTGCCCTGGCTGATGGGTTCCAAGAGTTAAACACCCCAAGGAGTATGGGCCCTTGGGGTGACAGCCACCTGAGGTTTCCACCTTAAGCGTGATGGGGTCAAAGAGGTAATGGGAACCCGAGGGATAACTAGACCAACGGTGATGGGTCCATGCATTGATTGGCCCAGAAGGTTAACAACAACAAGAATGATGACCCCCAGCGTTCATCACCCTAAGGGTGATAATCACAGATGGGTTAACCACCCAGAGGATAATGGGCCCTAGGGGTGATAAGCCCTCGGTGTTAATCGAGCTAGAGGTGATGGGTCCACAGGGTTAACCACCCCAAAAGTGATAGGCAGAAATTATTTGGTCCTCAGGGTTAACAGCCCCCAAGGATGACATCCCCTGAGGTGAACTACACCAAGGGTGATGGACCCCAGGGCAATGGGACCCCAGGGTTAAAAATCTAAAAAAAATGACTGGCCCAAGGGTTGGTGGGCACGATAGTTAACCACCTCAAGGGTAAGGGCTCGAGAGATGATTGGAAACAAGATTTCACCACCTCAAGTGCAATGAGCCCACAGGCTAATGGGCCCCCAGGTTTAACCACTCCAAAAGTGATGAGCCCAAGAGGTCATGGGCCCCCAGGTGTTGAACCATCTTAAGGGGGGATAGGCCCAAGAAGTGATGCTCACCTAGTAGGGTTAAACCACTAAGGATAATGGGCCCAAGAGGTAATGAGCCCAAGAGGTAATGGTCTACTAGTGTTAACCACCTCAAGGGTGATGGGCCCCTGGAGTGATGGATCCCAAGCATTAACCACCCCAACACAGACTGGTCCAAGAGAAGATATCCCCAGTGCTTTTTCCCCCATGGGTGATTGGTCTCCATCGTATTGGGCTGTTAAGAGTTAAGCACACCAAGGGATGTGGGCATCCATGTGATGTCCACCCCCTCCCCCAAGGTTAACCACCCCAAAGGTTATAGTCCTAAGGGATGAAGGGCCCAGGGGTAACCACCCCAAGGGTGATGGGCCCAAAGCACTATCCACTCCAAACGTGATGGGCCCTCAGGGTTGACCACCCAAACAGTGTTCGGCGTAATGATTGATGGGCTTTAACTATCCCAAGGGCGATGAGCTTTAACTATCCCAGGGTTATCCACCGCAAGGGTGATGGGAAACCAGGGTTAAGTACCCCGAGGTTGATGGGCCCAAGGGATTATGGACCCCCATGGTTAAACAAGCCAAAGCTGATGGGTCTAAGGGGTTATGGGTCCCAGGATTAACCACCCTGAGGGTGACAGGCCAGAGACATGATGGCCCAACACTGTTAAACACTCCAATGGTGATAAGCCCCTGCAGAGATTAGATGCTGGCATTTACCAACCCATGGTTGATGGGCCGCAGATTTAACTCACCCAAGGGTGATGGGCCTAAGGGGTGATGGGAATTCAGGGTTAACCACCTGTACTGGTTTTTGCTGGCTAGAGTTAAATTTCTTCATTCATACATAGTTTGTATGTGGCTATGATTTGGATTTGTGCTGAAAACAGCATTGCTAACACACTGATGTTTTAATCACTGCAGTGCTTACGCAACATTAAGGCCTTTTCTGTTCCTCACGCTATGCCACCAGTGAGTAGGTTGGGTGTTCACAAGAAGTTTGGAGGGGACAGAGCTGGGACAGCTGACATAACTGAACAAAGGGATATTCCATATCACATGACATCACGCTCAGCACTAAAACTGCATAGGGAAGTGGAGGCTGGCAGGGGCTTCCATTCCTCAGGGACTAGCTGGCATTTGAGGGCGCCAGGCTGGGAACTGGAAAATATTGTTGAAGTGCCAAAATTGAGAGATACGCCCAGAACTAGGCCCAGAAAAAGCTCAATGTTGGGGTGAGATGTATTTCATTGGGGAGTCTGTCCAAGTGAGCTTGTCAAACTGAGCCTTTCAGTAAAGGGGAATCTTAAAATCATGGAATAATTCTGGTTGGAGAGGACATTGCAAGGCCTTCATCCAGCCCAGTGCCCAGACCAAGTCCCATGAGGCTGCCCAAGGACATGCCCAAATGAGGTATGAACACCACCAAAGTCTTGCCCTTCTAGCTACAAAATCTGCTTTGGGTAAAAAAGTCCTCCATTTTAACATTTAGCTCCTCATTTATGAGGCTAAAACCTCATTCTTAGAGCCAAAACCCGAACCTGAATCACGAAAAAACCCTATTTAAAGGTCCAAAAGTAAAAATCTGACCACAAACCATTATTTTCAAGGTCTAAAGCCTCATTTTTCAGTTTCAACCTTGAGTTTTTAAAGCACAAACATCTATTTTCATAATAGCCTCAATATTAGGTCAAAAAGCATAATTTTTAAAACACCAAAACCAAGATTGGGGGTCCAATAGTAATTTTTAATGTCAAAATCCACATTTCTAGACTACAAAACCTCATTTTGTAAGTTCCAAGGCCCGCTTATAAGGTTCAAAGACTCAACTTAAGGGCTCAGAGCATCATTTTTAAGCACCAAAGTCAGATTTTGAAGGTCCAAAGACTGATTTTTAGTTACAAAATCCTCATTTTTATGGTCAAAAGCCACATTTGACAGTCTGAATTCCTCATTAAGGGCTCAAAGTCTCATATTTTTAGAGTCCAAAGCCTCGTCTGGAGCATCTGAAGACACATTTTTAGGGTGCAAAGCCTTAGTTTTGGAACCAAAGCATTAATTGAGAGCATAAAGTCAAACTTAAGGCTTCAAAACCTCAGTTTCATTTCCAAACCCCAATTTTAAGGGCCTAAAGACAAATTATTAAGGCCTCAACACTAATTTTCTGGGTCCAAACACTTATGTACATAGTCCAAATCCTCTTTTACAGCTCTAAGCCTCAGCTGTAGCGCACAAAGTCCTACATTAAGGACCAAAGCAATGGTTCAATGTCCAAGGGGAGACTGGTGATGAGCGACCTCCCTCAGGGGCCGGTATTGGAGTCAACGCTGTTTAACACCTTTGTCGGCGACATGGATAGTGGGATTGAGTGCACCCTCAGAAGTTTGCTGACCACACCCTCCAAGTGCACTGGAGGGATGGGATGCCATCCAGAGGGACCTGGACAGGCTGGAGAGGTGGGCCTGTGCTAACCTCATGGAGTTCAACAAGGCCAAGGGCAAGGTCCTGCACCTGGGTGGGGGCAACCCCAAGCACAAATCCAGGCTGAATGGAGAATGGCTTGAGAGTAGCCCTGAGGAAAAAGACTTTGGAGTGGTGGTGGATGAGAAGATCAACATGAGCCAGCAATGTGCATTCGCAGACCAGAAGGTCAACCCTATCCTGGGCAGCATCCAGAGCAGTGTGGGTAGCAGGTCGAGGGAGGGGATTCTGATCCTCTGCTCCACTCTTGTGAGACTCCACCTGAAGTACTGTGTTCAGTTCTGCGGCCATCAACATTAGAAGAACATGGACCTACTGGAGTGAGCCCAGAGGAGGCCACGAGAATGATCCAAGGGCTGGGGCACCTCTGCTGTGAGGACAGGCTGAGAGAGTTGGGGCTGTTCAGCGTGGAGAAGAAAAGACTACGGGGAGACCTTCTAGTGGCCTCCCAGTACCTGAAGGGGCTCCAGGAAGGCTGGGGAGGGACTTTGGCCAAGGGCAGGAAGTGACAGAACAAGGAGTGATGGCTTGAAACTGGAAGAGGCT